GGGCTCCCACAGCCTTGGGCAGCTCTGCTTTTGTGGCTTTGCAGGGTGCAGCCCCCATTTCAGCTGCTTTCACAGCCTAGTATTGAGTGTCTGTGGCTTTTCCAGGAACACAGTGCAAGGTTTTATATGTATATAACACATATACATATACATGTGATATGCCTATATGCGTATATATGTATAGAAAAAATATACATACATATACATATATACATACACATATACAATAGATGTGAAAGGAAGTAACAGATTGCAACTTTTGGAGTAGTCTAATATTTTTAAATTTCTAAATTCTTCAGTTAAATTCAGATGCAATCAATCAAATTAAGCAAGCTTTTTCTTTCCTACTGACATTTTTTTTCCCTCCTGGATACTCTTGAACATTCTCCTCTCCCTTGAGTAATTATATAGCTTTATTTTTGATAAATAGTGCAAAATACAAGAACATAACTAATTCACAGTTTTAATACAACTGATTTGGTGAAAAAATAAAAGACCAGAAGGACCAATGAGTTTTTATTTGTTGGTAATTTTAGCAAACTCTGGGACAATTTTCCAACATTTTGTACTTCATATTCTTTTCTCCTTTATAGCCTGTAAAAGTTATCATTAATTTTGAGCTCCTTATCTGTACTCTTTGTATCTGTTTCACTTCATTAGTTTCAATTATTTTATTTCTAGCTCTCCTCTAGAGACTCCTAGAACATCATCCTCTCCTGATTTCTTTGCTGGCTGCTTTTATAACCAAACTCCAAACATCACAATTATCAACTTAGTCCTGGGTGTTCTGTCCTACTGTGTTAACTGCAAAAATGACCTCAATTCTTAGGAGCTTCTGCCATCAGTAGCTGGAGTCTACTGGGTTTCAAGTCTGGGCCTCAAGAGGCATTGGAAGCTTTCATCCTCTTTTTTGAGATTTCAGCACCATCACCAAACGAGTAAGTCGCAGGTAGCCTGCTGGAGGATGTACAACCATGTGGAACGCAGATGAGCCATCACAGCTGAGTTGTTTTGGACCTGCCAACCCTAAACCAATGTCACAGCTGTCTGCAGAAGCACAAATGAGATATGGCCAAACCCCATTGAGCCTGGCCCAGATAAGCAGAACTGTCTCACAGAGCCCAGGACAAATTGCCAAACCCTAGTATTGTGTGTTCAGTAATTTCTAGTCGTTCTAAGCCACTAAGTTTTAGGGTGACTTAAGTGGTTATAACTACCTAATAAGTACATTTTATAATTCCTTTTTATTATCATCTATCATAGTCTGTTATTATTTTCTTTGTTTATTTATTTATTAGCTGTTTCTCTGCAAATGTAGGACAATTGCATTATTTGTCTTGTTCTCTGATGTATTCAGAACAGTTGGTGACTGGTACATCAAAGGCACTTATTGAAAAGTTACTGAATAAATGAACACATGATTGGATGAATAGATGTTTATAGGTAAACTTTCCAAAAGTACATTGATAAAAATGAATATTTCTATCAGTTATATTAATAACTTCTTTGCTCTCTAGAATGACTCAGGAACTTTAATGTATATTATTAAAGCACAATTTCTATTTTTTATTTTAAGTTGTTTTTCTGCCATTGCTCTCTACTTTGATTATTTTGCTGTGTTTTCGATTTGTACATGTCCATTACATTTAAACAATTTTGAAAACGTCGTCTTCTCTTAAAACATTTTTAGCCACAATGATGTATCCACTTTTTTTTTTTTAGACAGACTCTTATTCTGTTGCCCAGGCTAGAGTACAGTAGTGACATCTCAGTTCACTGCAAACTCCACCTCCTCTGTTCAAGCAATGCTTTTGCCTCAGCCTCCTGAGTAGCTGAGATCACACCCAGCTAATTTTTTTGGTGGGGGATTTTTGATAGAGGTTGGATATCACCATGTTGGCCAGGCTTGTTTTGAACTCCTGACCTCAAGTGATCTGCCCGCCTCCGCCTCTCAAAGTGCTGGGATTACAGGCATGAGCCACTGAGCCTGGCGATATCTCCACTTTCATATGTTTATTTATTAATTGATGTCATAATATTTATTAACATAGCAAATTCTCAATATATAAGATTTATGAATTCACAAATATTTCCACTTTGTAAACTAGCTTATAAAAAATCAAAGAAGTGCTTTTTTGAAGAACAAAGTTTTAGGGCTGGGAGGAAAGAGAAAGTGATCATTAAAAATTCTTCATAGATCCATCAAAGATCTTTTAATCTACTTAAATCCAAATATAGAAGATCAGATTCTGATATGACATTATTTTTACATTTTTATAACAACTTTTCACTCACAAATCCAAGGTGACAATGGCATTAAAAATATCTACAGGACAAGATTGGTATGAAATGCAATAATATGATAACAGTGTTACATTAGACCGGTTATTTTTATTTTCTGTATTTTTCACATGTCCTATTTGGCTATAATTTTTTGTTGCAGGAAGTCAGGGACCCTGAACGGAGGGCCTGGCTGAAGCTGTGGCAGAAGAACATAAATTGTGAAGATTTCATGGACATTTATTAGTTCCCCAAATTAATACTTTTATAATTTCTTACGCCTGTCTTTACTGCAGTCTCTGAACATAAATTGTGAAGATTTCATGAACATTTATCACTTCCCCAATCAATACTCTTATAATTTCCAATGCCTGTCTTTACTTTAATCTCTTAATCCCGTCATCTTCAAAAGCTGAGGATGTATGTTGCCTCAGGACCCTGTGATGATTGCATTATCTGTACAAATTGTTCGTAAAACGTGTGTTTGAACAATATGAAATCTGGGCACCCTCAAAAAGAACAGGATAACAGCGATTTTCAGGGAACAAGGGAGATAACCATAAGGTCTGACTGCCTATGGGGCCAGGTAGAACAGAGTCATATTTTTCTTCTTGCAGAAAGCAAATAGGAGAAATATCACTGAATTATTTTCCCCACAAGGAATAACGCTGGGGAAGGAATGCATTCCCAAGGGTAGGTCTATGAACAGCCACGATGGGAATGTCTGTCTTATGCGGTTGAAGATAAGGGATGAAATATGCCCTGGCCTCCTGTAGTGCCCTCAGGCTTGCTAGGATTAGGAAATTCCAGCCTGGTGAATTATAGTCAAACCCGTTGTGTGCTCTGCTCTCGAACTCTGTTTCCTGTTAAGATGTTTATCAAGACAGTATGTGCCCAGCAGGACATGGAACCTCATCAGTAATTCTAATTTCACCCTGGCCTTGTGATCTTGCTCTGCCCTTCTGCCCTTATGATCTTTTATTGCCCTTTGAAGCATGTGATCTTTGTGCCTTACTCCATGTTTGTACCCCTCTCCCCTTCTGAAATCTCTAATAAAAACTTGCTGGTTTTGCGGCTTATGTGGGCATCACGGAACCTACCAATAGGTGATGTCACCCCCAGAGGCCCAGCTGTAACATTTCTCTCTTTGGTACTCTTTCTCTTTATTTCTCAGACCGGCTGACACTTAGGGAAAATAGAAAAGAACCTATGTTGAAATATTGGGGGCTGGTTCCCCTGACAATTTTTATAATAAAAAATAGTAAATTAAGAAATAATTCAAGCTTACAAAGTATAGTTGACCATATAAAGTAAATCTTAAAAGAAATGTACAGAAAGGAGATATTCAACTAAGATAAACAAGATGCTGGATGCAAAGGCTTGTGATGGTCCCTGAAGGAGATGTAAGGATGAACACCATCCTTATCGTTTCCCAGCAGTGCTGTCCTTGAGGATAGGAACCCCTTTCCTGTGCAACCACAGACACCCACCAAAGCATGTATAACATTTATTAGCCTTGGGTGCCTAGAGAATTTCAGATTACTTCTGAAATATGTACTTGATTCAATTTTATACTGAGGAAAGTGAGAGACACACAAATATCAAATGACTAATGAATGGCGGCCTCGCTGGCAACGGCAGTCATTGTAGGTAGCCAAATGGCCTTGCTGGCATTCTAGAACCCACGGACTTAGGGAAAGATTAAGTAACATTTCTTTTTTGAATTCACTTCAAATACTCAACTATGTTTATTTTAATAACTACAATTTTATGCTCAAGACTGAACAGATCCCATTCACACTGACAGCCCACAGAGGGGACTCCACACCTTTACAGGAGGTTTTTAGGCAATAAAATAAAAATCTGTATTTAAAATAGGTGTGTGTCTCATAAGATAAATTTTTACACTTTTTTACTGAATGTCTTATTGAACATTACAAATTAGTAATTTATACCTAGAGAGAGGAAATATCAATGCCCACTGTATAGTTATATAAAAATAGAAATACATCACTATAGTCCAATCCTCAAGAAAACACATAATTTGTGCCCAAAGACTGTACATATGCTAAGGTGACTTCCTTCCTTAATCTCTAAATAACATGCCTCTCCACATGAGCAGGAGATAGAGGTTGGGCATGTGCCTAATCCCGTGAGGTCCACCTTTGGGGAGTCACAGATGCTGGTTGGTGAAGAATCTGATCTCCCTGCAGACAATTTAGAATTGGTGAAGAATTTAATCTCCCTGCAGACAGGATTTACACAGAACTGACAACTCAGAGTCAGCTCTGCGGAAAACAGCTCATTTAACTGGATAAGTGAGTGCACCAAGTCAGCCAGGGCCTTAGGGAATACTGGGTTTTCACTAAAAGGCTCCTCTTCTGATGTTTTCAACTCCACACTCATGGTCTAAAACTTGAGAGTACTCGATATCCATTTTCTACAGCATTTTGGTGTTATCATTGGTAAATGCTATCAAAACTGAGAGGATATTCTTCTTCCCCCTCTCAGAAAGCCCTCTGATAGATTTTATCTGTTTGAAGATCCAACCAGGGCATTGAACCAACCTTGGATTCTCACACCAGCTGGTAAGGGTTGCAGTAACCCAGCCTTTCTATGACTCTTTGGATAGTGGCACACAACTCCTAAGAATAGGGGTCTCCTCTGTTGAACACAGATATTGGCAGTGAGTGAACAGAAAAGAGAATGGCCAACTCACTTCTCTTCTCCAGTGGAAAATGGTCCAGCTCTTTCAGAATGTGGTCAGCAAAGCAGTGGGTGAGGAGGCGATGTGTGAGCCACCTGCCGATAGTGTTCCACTTCATTGTAAGCTTCTGTCCCACTCTATTATCTGATCTTTAAATGGCATTTAAGCAACTGTACTGTGGATGTTGCATGAAAGCAATAGCCCTTTCCAGGTCATCTCTCTCCATCTCTTCATTTGCTTACTTTGGTAAAGAATGGAAATGCCAAAATCCAATAAAGTATTTGTGAGGGGCTGTGTGGGGGGACAAGTCATCCAGCAGCTTCACCATACCTTTTCCTTGCTTGGAAATCCACATCTTGATGGGAGACCCACCTCCAATTCTGTGGTACTGGCCTTGAATCTTGGAGGTTCTGCATTTGGAAAAGAATGGTGTAAACTTATTTTGAACAGTAAGTGTCCTGAGGTCTTGGTCCAGGAAGAGCCTCAGAAGGAAGTCATGAACATGTCCGAGGGTTTCAGGTCCTCCCATGTTTAGCATTAATATTTCAGTTTTCAGCTTCCTTTTCTCCACTTGAACTTGAGGTTTTGCACCCTGACCACGCTGGGCTGTTTCTGTGACACCTGACTGGCACTTGTATGGCTGACAGGCCCTCAAGCTGTCTTGTGCCAGCTGGTGCATTCCCGGGGCAACCTTCACTGAGTCCCAGACACCTCCCGTGGCAGCGCCTACAGGTGTCAGCCTAGCCAGGGCCCAGCCAGGATCTTTCCTCACCGACATCCCAGGACGCCTGACTTCATGTGGCCACCCATAGCCCTCCCAGCCCCTGTTTATTTGAATTACTTCATTCCACTAAATACATAACAATCATAATGTGGTATTAAATATGAGTAAAAATCAAAATCAGAAAGAAAGACATACATATACACATATGAATGTCCACAGCTAGAGAAAATACATTCAATACAGATATTCAGTATCGTCTTAGAGTCTTGGAAGTTGTTAGAGTTGGTCTGTACATTTGCCTCTGTCCTTCCTCAAGGCCTGAATGATAAGGTAAACATAATTTTTATTTTATCATAAAATGAATGAAGATCAGTTTCTTCTTGCTTACTGGGAATTTATTCTGGTTTTAGAGTTTCAGCTTCTAGTTGATGTGACTTATAAGAAACCTATGACATTTAATGTAGAATGTTGAGGATATCTTTTACAATTCATTAGATGTCTTCTGTATGAGGCTCAATTCAGACATTCCATTTACATTAATTGGAATATTCTCATCACTAAACTTTCCTGGATCGGGCACCATGTTACCTTATCCCATGCTTTCCTTCTACAAGAGAATGGGTTGTATCTTCATTCATAACAATCTGGTACGACTCCTTGTACATTTTTTATCTTTAAATTATTGTTATAGTCCTATGTTCCCTGAAATTCTGTCTTCTATTCTTTTTCTGTATGTACTTACCTGTTTCAAATCTGTTACCACCACTTTACTAGGATCAGGAGGTTCAAGAGATGGAAGACTGTATTCCTTGTGCAGTGTCTAACCACACTCTGCCATTGCACCCTTGCCAGGCATAAAGATGAGGAATAGTAACCTTCGTTGCAGACTCCAAGGACTCTTTTTCTTCATTGTTTTACATCTATACCAGGTGTTACAGCTGCTTATATAGAGTAGATACTCAACTGAATTGTATAAAGAAACCTCCCTTACCTTGCTCTTTAATGTCCTTGCTTTTCTTTTAACCTGTTGTTTCCTTTCTCTGAAATGCCTCTACCTGGCAAATTCCTATTCACAGCTCAAAGCGCAGCTGACATATCACCTCCTCTTAAGTCTTCCTTGACCACATCCAGAATGGAGTTAATCACTCCCTTATTTTTATGTCCTCAGTACCTTGCACATACATGCATCAGCAAACTTAGAACAGTTTACCAAATATATCCCGATGTGTGTTTATATATCTTTTTTTTTTTTTTTGGGGGGGGGGGGGGGAGTGGAAGTCTTGCTCTGTCACCAGACTGGAATGCAGTGTCACGATCTCGGCTCACTGCAACCTCCACCTCTCGGGTTTCTCCTGCCTCAGCCTCCTGAGTAGCTGGGACTACAGGCATATGCCACCACACCCAGCTAATTTTTGTATTTTTAATAGAGACGGTGTTTTACCATGTTGACCAGGATGGTCTCGATCTCTTGACCTCGTGATCTGCCTGCCTCGACCTCCCAAAGTGCTGGGATTACAAGCGTGAGCCACGGCGCCCGGCCTATATGTCCTATTGATAAACTCCTGATTAGTGAAACAGTGTCTTATCTATCTTTGTTACTTTCCAGATCTAGCACAGTTCCTGGTAATAGCAGACCTTTAGTAAATGTTCATTTTAATGTAATTTTATGCATTTAATTTTCTATCTCTGGACCTCAGTATCTTATTTCCAAACAATATTACCTTAGTTTTAAAGTTTGTCTATTCCTGACACTCTAGCTGTGTGACTTTCAGCAAACTACTTAATCTTTCTGTGCTTTATTACTTTTACCCTAAGAAATGGGAATAGTAATATTTACTTTATATGGTTATGATAAAAAATAAATGAGTTTAGTTATGGATAGTACTTAGCATATTTCTTGACATGTAATAAATATTAGACACACATTAATGTCATCATCATTTTCTGTTATGCCTATATTCACATTAGGCAGTACGTCCTCTATCCTATCACTGACAGCTCTGTGCTGCCTGTTAATGTTTTTGTCACTCTCTCTGAACCATTATATAATAGCTCAAGGTCAAAGATGTTGCCTGTCCGTGTGTATTTCCTTAGCCCCAAGATTAGTGCCTAAATAGCCATTGCTCAATTAATGTTTATTTATACAACTGGTTGAATGAATACCTATTAAAACATACATATTAAAGTATTAGAGGACTTACAGAAGGAAAGAATAACCCATTTAACAATTTCTGAAAGGATATGTTCAAGAATATCTATTTGGACTGAGATCTGTAATCTCCGCTCATCAAATGGAGGACCCAGGGTTACTGTGGTCAGTAACTTAAAAAGGGTGTGGTTTACTTAATGGACTCCTCTCCAAACCACCAACACTCAAATATTGCATTATGTCAAGTGTATTAACTTTCACATATCAGAGCTACCATTACAACTATCTTTCAAAATAACAAGTGTTTCAACTTATTGAAGTTGCCTCACATGCCTCCCTCTTATTAAAAAAAAAAAAATAGATGTATTAAGGTAGACGTTTACTTGTTTACATGATGGCATCATCCCTGCAAGCTCAGTCCTACACTTTACTTATCTCATCCCCATGATTTTGGAGAGAGGGGATGCAGCTTTGCCCAAATTCTGGCAGTAAATCTGCTTCCTACTCCTACGTGACAGGTGGCTCCCAGACAGGTAGGCTGGTAGAGCTGAGCTTCCTTTCATGCTGTCAAGGAGGAGCAGCATCCTGCTGCTTGACAGCTAAAGCCTTACCATCATATTAAGAGTCTCTTTTTCTTTCAATTCTCCTAGCCACAAATCTTTGAGAGATTTGGTCCTGTTGTGAACAAGGCTGTTGCAGATTGGAGGAGCTCTGCTGTGGTCTGCATATCCCCGTGCAATGTATCTCCATCTGTGTGGGGCATCTGCCTCCTCCATTCTGCCATCTGACTTGTCTTAGGCCAAATGCTGACACTTCTCTTAGGGAAGGGAGGAAAGAGGTCCAGAGTCATCCTTACGCTTACATAGCACCTGATTCTGCCCTTAACTTTCTATCCAGGGCTTCTCAAATGTTAACGTGCTTACCAATTACCCAAGATCTTTGTTCAGAGCAGATTCTGATTGATATATTCAGGTATTTTGCCTGAGATGATGCATTTGTAACAATGTTTCAGGGATCATTCCAAATGTGGTCCCCAGATTACCAGCATCAGAATCACCTAGGATCTGAGTCAGAATCTACATTTTAATAATATCCCCAGGTGATTTGTGTACACTTTGAGATTTGAGAAACACTGCCTTTGAAGGTATTGAAATCCATGTGGTAGGACGTTATTTCTCATCTTGCATGGCAAAAGCTATTAGTGATAGTTACTTCTCTTACCTCCACTCTGCTGATGCTACTGGTCTAAGGAGAACTTTTTGGGCAGTAAGGCTTTAATCAGCATAATTTAAAGGGTTAGCTTATCTCCTACTTCTGGGCTACCATGACATCATAGCTTTAATTTCCTAGGTGTACTTGATAGTGTTGTTCTAACCTTCCAATTAACTTATCATCTGAAACCAGACTAAGTGATTGCCCTAATCATCAGCATTTCAGTGTTTAAAAATATGCATTGAGTTAAAATAATAAAGAACAGAAAGCAAACAATTTACCCAATAATTAGTAAATCAATAGATTAATTGACAGATCAACCCTTATACCTATTTTCTTTCATTAACATTTTAATATTTGTGCTTGTCAGAACTTCTAATAAAAGAATAAAGAAGAAAGGTGAATTACTTCATTAAATCTAATTTATTTCCATTTAACAAGCTAATTGTTGAAGTAGGTGCTTTGGTGGTACCAAGACAAACAGGTACAACATTTCCCTTCAAGGACTTTACCATGTCACAGGGTGAATGGACATGCCACAGTATGAATGGACATTGGTGTGAGTAGAGCGGAATATAAAAGAATACATTCACAGACTATACTGCAAAACAGAGGGACAGAAGATGCTAAGTGCGACTGAACAGGCAAGAGAGGAATGAGTTTTAGGGTTTTGCTGCTGTTAAGTGTGGTCCATGAAGCAGCATCAGTGTCAGCTGGGACCTTGCTAAGAATAGTAATTCTTGGATCCTCATTCAGAACTACTCAATTACAGTCTGGGAGTAGAACAGCAAACATTGGTTTAACAAGCCAACCAGGTGACTATTAATCACAATAAAGCTTGAGAGCCACTGTTATAAAATATGCTAAATGCTATCAATAGCCAATGAAATGGAAGGAAAAGAGAATTAAAGCAGTCGTGTTCATAGAAATATAAACTGAGCAATCAGAATCTGCTTTTAACAATAATCTTGAGTAGTTGGTAAGCACGGTAAAATCTGAGAAGCACTGGATTACAATTATAAAAAATGTAATTTAAAATTTTGTAGTTCTGCTTTAAATAATTAAAAGAAGCAACTAAAATGAATTTGATTATACATTTTATTAAGCTCAACATAGCCAAACTATTATCAACATGTCATCATTGTAAAATATCAATGAGAAATTTTATATCCACGCTTTTTTAGATGAATCCTCGAAATCTTGTATTTTGCATTTATAGAACATCCGAATTTGAACTAGTTACACTTCAGGTGCTTAATGGCTGCATGTGGCAGTAGATACCATATCGGACAATGAAACTTTAGACCTTAATATTCCAAATGTGGTCCCTGGAATACCAGCATTAGAATCACCGAGGATCTGAACCAAAATCTACACTTTAATAATATCCCCAGGTGATTTGTGTTCACTTTGCGATTTGAGAAACACAGCCTTTGAAGGTATTGAAATCCACATGGTAGGAAGGAATCTCCCATCTTCTTGCATAGAAAAAACTATTAATGATAGTTACTTCTCTTACCTGCACCCTGTGCCTCTCAGAACTTGCTAATCCTCTGTCAAATCTATCTATTTCTAGACTCTGGGACCCTGTGAATCTAGGAGTTGGCAATATTGCAGAGGGAAGAGCAGTACTACAGCAGGTGCAAATACAGACTATTTGAGGAATTCCAAAGTACCTGAATTCCCATGTTGAGAACTATACAACACC